AGTGGAGCAAAACCTGTCTGAGTGTTCAATCCTTGTGACTACATCCTGCACTCCTTTAGGAACTGATCCCTGGTGAGCTCTGTATTAAAAAGACCAAATATGAAGCAATGCTACTTCTAGTAGGTTTATTTACATTACATTGTGGCTTTGAATATAAACTTTAAGAAGTTCTAATACAAGCAATAAACACTTCAGCACCTTCTTACCACAATGAGAGCAAGAAAAAAGCAGTACTCTAAACAAGGAACTTTGTAAAGTGCATATGAAAATTACAGTCAAGTAAACACAATTTAAATTGATACTTGTTCTGCCAACAAAGAAAGAGGTGAATGTCTTAATGAACAAATTAACTTCTATACCAAAACTGGAAGTGCCTTTCAGTTCAGTAGTTTGGTCCAGTGCAGTTCATTAAAAAAATAAAATAATAAAAAAAAAATCAACAAGAAGAACCAAAAAAACAAGAGTGTTTCCCACAAATAAATAAACCCAGCATTCTTTGTCCTCTTTAAAAGTAACGGGACCTGAAAAGCACCAAAATCATGAAGTCTGCAATAACATTCTTCAAACGCCCAGAATTCCACACATTTAAATCCAGTTAAACACAAAAAAAAAAAAACCCGACCCCCCCAAAAAATCCACAGTGTTACACATTCACACCAACTGCAGCACAAATAAATTATTACTGAAATAATAAGAGAACTCAGGTCTGTGCTCTAGCAGTAACATTGGGTCGCGAACGTTCTGCTCCGCAGGGCAGAGGGATCGCGCCGGCCGGGCTCAGCACTGGGGAGGATGCCCGAGCTGGGTCCCTCCCTGCTGGGGCTGGTTGCCTGGGTGAGAAAGAAGAGGGGAGAGTTTGCACCCCATTACTCTGTCCCACAGGAACACAGAACACTCCTGTGTGTCATGCAGCAGCAGCAATCAACAGTCCACACATCCCCTCCCACACCTCTAAACCACCAAGAGCTGCCACTTTTGCTGGGGTCTTTGCCTGTGGAGGGACTAGAGAAGAGAGGGGAGGAACAGGCAGGTGATGGGGCACCAGCCCAGGGACTTGGTTCTGCAGAGACCAGGGGAGGCACTAGCCCCAGAATTCTGGTATCACCTTCCCACCAGGATACCCAGCTGCCAGCAGGAAGTCACTTCCAGGGGTGTGGGGCAGCCCAGGAAGAGGCAGAACACCCCACAAAGATAATTCCATGTTCCAGCATATGCACCTTGGTGTGGAGCCCTGCACACACAGACTTACTGGAGAGCTGCTTCTGGAGCTGCCTGACCAGCGCAGCGGTCTGCTGCTGTGCCTGCTGCTGCTGCTGTGCCTG